TGGCTGAAACCTTCAGGCAAGGCGTCTTCAAAATGAAGAAAGAAAAAACATGTCACAGAAAATATCAATAATAATTACAGGAAAATACTTGAAACTGTATTGGAAACCAACTAGAATACTGAACTAAACTGAAATAAAACAACACAAACTGAAACACACATACAAATAAAACTTAGGCTTTAGCATATATGTAAGATAATATATTTGCTCATTGGACATGCACAGAACTCCAAGTGTGGGAGCAGGAAGATGACAAAACTTCATGCAGTAGAATACACCAGAACCAGTCAGCTGTGCATCTAGGAGAGGAACACTGTTGCAACTACTAGTCTTAGAGGAACATTGTATTTAATTATTATTATGAAGTAGCAATGTTACTGCTTAGCAGGTCCTACTTCTCTTCTGTCAAAAACTATTTTCTGTAACCATACTCACCATTGGGAAGGTTTAAACAAAGCCAGTCAAGTGCAGAGTGGAGATCACCCCCATGCAAAAGCGTATTTTTCATTGCTTCTTCAATGTGCTCAGTCTTAAAAGAGAATTTTTGTAAAGCCATGTATACATCCTATAAAGAAGAGAGCCAAAAAGATTAGGATTTAATCTAGCAATCTAATGTAGACCTGTAAAGTTCTATTTCATCTATCAGAAAGCCAGCATTAAAGGGAAATAAACACCGTGCATTAATGTATCAAAAAAATAAGCAGATAATTCTGCTTTGCAGAATTTATTTGCTTTTTAAACATGCACGCATAGGTATCAATAAATCTACATTCCTGCCTCTCTCTCTACACAATGTGTTTTCTAGCTAAGTAAAGGCATACCTGCAATTTTCCAGGTATATGAAGTAAAAAATGTAGGAAACCTAAAACATTCAGATTAAGTATTATTCTTCTATCTTGGCTAAAAGCTCTTGATTTTAGTTCCTGAGTCCAAAAAGATGTGCCTTTCCTAATAAGCTAATTTCTTGATTTCACTGACTAATCATTAATATAACTACTGAAAAGCATGCGGTATTGGCTTGTACCACACACAATACAATTGTGTAATACACTCAAGTGTAATGTGACACTTGATAAAGATTACAAAAGACAAACTGTTCTAAATAAATAATGAAAAATAAGGTTTTGAACTGTACCTGTAGTTTCTTCGCAGTTAGTCGTTTGGAAATCATTCCTTTGTCCTCGTTTTGGTTTTTATGGTTATTAATCACATCGATAATCCTTTTCTCCAAATTACCATTTATCGTTACCTGCAAAGAAAAAATGAGTTGATACAAGGTAAACTTCAGAAGTTTTTATGACAAGTCAATGCACTTCATGACTAAGGACGTAACAATGCAGAAATCTCTCTGCCATTTAAATTCCAATTTTTCAAGCTTTCTGTAAGTGGCCTAAACATCTCGTATGAGAAGGACACTTTTTCTTTTGCAAGCCGTATTTCACCTGAAATATAAGAAATATAAGAAAGCCCAATTACATTTTAAAGGAAATTTAGTATGTTAAGGGAAATACTGTACGTAAGTTAAAATTTTACCAAAAAACCCAAGGCCTTTATCCTCTGCTCACATAAAATAATTTGAACATCAAGATGCAATCTGTGATTTCCTCCTTCCAAAACACCTTTACAAACAAACTTAGTATAATAATTCTAATATTTGAAACTTTTCTAAAACATGAACGTATGGAAATTGACCGTAATGGGAGAGTTCATGGGATGCTACACCTATCTTTAGTTGCTAATAAGTTTGTTATATAAAATCTATATCCTTTCTCTGACAGGAAGAAAGATGCAGATGCACAGCAGCAGCCTAGACCTAACTCCTAAAATAGTCTTGCATGCAAAGTATTATTTGTTATTAAAAAAAAAAGACATTATCCTACCATGGTAATTTAGCCCTATTACTTAAAGGACACTCAAAATTCAAAACCCTGAACAAAATCAAACGCTAAATGGTCAATTGTCTCATATATTAATGCAGTTTACAGGCACAACCTAATACTGAAAAAGAGCTGAAGAAATATTTACTCAGCTAAAGCAGTATGAAAATCAAAGTTGTATTATGTAAAGGAGATACTTACCTTAAGAACAGATTTATCTAGATTTGCAGCAGCATTGGAATCTGTTGTTGAACCAAAACTGTAAGTTTTTGGACCTGCAAATCGCAAATAACCATCAATTACACAAAAACCATAAAGAACATCGTTTAACACAGCTAAAGCAGACATAACATAACACAGATTAGTGCAAACTATTACACTAACTTGCCAGAAACTTGCAGGTACTAAACAACAATCACAATAATCAAGAAAGGCCTTGAACGAGGAATAGTGAAGAGGGCTATGACAAAACACAAAATTCAAAGGATATAATGAGAGGAAATGGGATTGACTGCTCACTCTCTGAACACTGAAAAAGGATTGCCAAATAGAGGAGTAAAAGGCAATTTCAAAACAGTAAATGGCAATCTCAAAACAAGCAAAGCTGTTGAGGATTTTTTATTACAAAGGGCATAGCTATGTAACAGAACCATTTGCCACTAAAGCTATAGACAGTAGATATTTACTGAGGTCCAAGGGCAGAGAGAACAACTTTGCAGTGAAGAAATCAATTGATATATTGGAGAGCACTGAAAAAAGAATTACATATACTTCAGGGAGACCCTAAGCCACAGCTGGTGGAGTCTGTAAGAATACCCTACAGTGTTATCACCACATGTCCGATTGGTTCTTACCTGGTTATCTGCTTTGGTCCCCTACCTAGGAAAGAACACTGGCTTACAAAAGCCTTTGGTCTGCTCTGATCATTCTTAAATACTTTTCATTTAACAGGTATTAAGAAAACCGAACCCTAATTCACAAACTATTTATTGTCATTAGAATGACAACACACAGCTTGCTGTAGGATTCCACCACTTTCAGAGCACATATACTGTGTTTGGTACTGCACAGGCAGAAAGAAACTGAGTGAGCAAGGCCAAAGCTTCTACCAGTCTGTGTGGTGCATGCTGCTCCAGGAGGCACAGCTACCCCCCAGAAGGTGGGCTAGGCAGCTCATCCCTGCGGGCCTGCCTGTAGAACAGCTCTGGGCGAGCCTGCTTTGAGATCAGACCAGATTCTGATAACTGCACTTCAGAAAAGGTACAGTCCCCTCTGATCAGAGGATGCAAACAGCTGTCAGCACTCAGGATCTACTCACTAGCACTTACGGTGTGCTCTTTAAAATATACCAAATTAGCTTTCACTTATACTGACTGATTTTTCACCACAGTACACAACTGAGAGAGAAGCAGGATATTTTCTGAAGAGGACAGAGCACCACAGTTATGGGAGGAATGGAGGAATCAAGAAATACACTTAGTATGGCACATACTTGTAAAAGCAGAACACATGCATAGGTTCAGGAGGCTTATATTACCAGATTACAAGACTTTTTCTTAACTCGTGGGAATATCAGATGCCCTGGCCATTGCATGATTTTACTCATGTCTGCAATAAAAGCTGTTCTAATCTTTTATGGTATCTGAGCTACTTCTGGCAAACCTAGCTTATTGAAAATAGGGATATCACAGTGCTTCAGAATAATAGTTTTTCAGACTGCACTCAGAACAGCCATCCCTCATCTTATCTAACACCACAGGAGAGTCTCCCACCCTTTAACAGGTCTTTCAAGACAGAAAAAAAATGCCCAAAATAATCCCAAATCCACATTATTTTGATTTTGATAATATACAAAACAAATACATCAGAAGCTCTGGGGAAGTGACTTCCAAACACTTGCTTCACAGGAACTGCTGATAATCTAGTAATAAGACTTTCTGTAATTAACTCCACACTTCGATACCACCAAGATTTATCTGCTCAGAGACACCCCTGACAGCAGCATCACACAATAGCTGCAGTTGGAATGGACCTCTAAAGACCATCCAACCTGATGCGGCAGAATGACCTAGAGCAGGGGACACAGGAATGAATCCAGGTGAGTTCTGCATGTCTCCGGAGAGGGAGATTCTGTGACCTCCCTGGCAGCCTGTTCCAGTGCCCTGCAACCTTCAGTGTACAGGAGTTCTTCCTCCTGTTAAGGTGCAACTTGTCTGTCTAGCTGGTCAAGGGAGGGGACTCACCCCTATCTACTCGGCCGCAGTGAGGCCACGTCTGCTGTTCTGTGTCCAATTGTGGGCTTCTCTGTACAAGAAAGACGATGAGCAGAGCGTTCAGTGGTTCAGTGTTACAGTTAGTGCCCATTTCTGTTCATTCCGGGCACCAGTGATGAATCTGGCATCATCCTCTTTGAAATATTTATATACATTTATGTGGGTTCCTTTAAGTTTTCTGTGCACTAGCCCAGCTCCCTCAGTCCCTCCTCAAGAGGAGCTGTACCATCATCGTGACCCTCCACTGAACGCTCTGCTCATCGTTTTTCTTGTACGGAGAATCCCACAACTGGACACAAAACAGCAGACGTGGCCTCACTGCGGCCGAGTAGATGGGGCTGAGTCCCCTCCCTTGACCAGTTTAGGAGCGGAGCAATTGCAGCTGTCTCTCCCAACGCTGGGAAACACCACTCCAATGGCCGGCCTCTCCTCGTAAAGCGGTAGTCCACGGCAGCCGCACCCTCAGGGGCTCCCTGAGGGCTCCGTCTCTCCAGCCATAGCACCCTCAGCCACGGACACGCACAGCGCATCCCCCTCCGCCACAGCACGGCACGGCCGCTGCCAGGGCTCCGCGGGCCACGCTACCTTGTTTGGGACGCGGCTCCTTGGAGGCGGGCGCCGGGCGCGGCGGTGCGTTGCGGCTGCCCGGCTCCGCGGCCGCCCCGGCCTGCGCGGCGCGGGCTCGGGCGGTGGCGGCGGCGGCCGCGTGAGCCGCGCTGCCCGCGCGCTGCTTCTTGTTGCGGCCGCCCATGGCGCCCCAGCCCGTTCTGCGCGCGCGCACATCCGGGCACCGCGCGCGGCGCGCCGCCGCCGCCGCCTCCTCCCATTGGCCAGCGCCTCCAGCGCACGCGCGCGGGCTGCGCGGCCTGTGTCGGCTTTTTGCAGACCAGTCCCAAGAGGGGAAGGATCACGTGTGCACTCGGGGGTGCTGCGGAGGGGTTCGGCATCGGGAAGGAGATCCAGACTCGGACAGAAACCGAGGCTGACATCGAGCACGGGCTGTGTGGGCGGCTACCGGTGCCAAGGCCGGCGGGAACCCTCGCCGGGGGGCGGGATCAGAACGGCTCCTCTCGCGCGAACTGTGCGGCCCGCGCCGGACATTGTGGGAGCGTGGCGGCTAAGATGGCGGAGGCTTTTGGGGATGAGCTCTTCAGCGTGTTCGAAGATGACGCGGCCGCCGCTGCTTCTGGCACCAAGAAGAGCAAAGCGAGCCCCGCCGAAGGTGCCAGGAGGCCGGGGTAAGGGTGCAGAGCCGGGCTAGGACAGCAGTACCGGGGGTGCTCTGGCGGTGGGATGAGGGCTGTAACGTTGGGTCCTGCTTCTTCCGGCGTGTTTGAGCTGAACCCCCTCGGGTGTTCGGGAATGTCTTTCAGTATCTGAAGGAAACGTAGTAAGAGGTTGCAGCCATACTCTTCTTGGTTGTGCCGAGCAATTGGACAAGAGCCAACAGGCCGAAACTGATGTACAGGAAGTTTCACCTGAACGTGACGAAGAATTTCTTAAGTGCGTGGGTGACTGTGCACTGGAACAGATTTTTCAGAGTTTTTGGAATCTCCCTTACTGGACGCATTTAAGTCCTATCTGGATCCAGTTTTGTGCAATGTGCTCTGGGACGGTCCTGCTTGAGCAGGGAGGGATGGGCCGCTGTGGTCGCTTCCAACCTGACCCATTCTGTAATTCTGTGACCCACTTTTCCAGATCGCTGGCTCTGTGGCCAGCTGGGGAGTGTGGGGACCCGGTCGCCAGCTTATCTGGGTACTGGTTTGAAATCCTATGGCCGTTTTTGTGGGTCAGGTTACCTGGGTTTTTCTCCAAGTGCAGTGGGATCACAGTTGCCCTTGACATTTTCTTTCCTGAAAATTCATAAATAAATGAGGCAAAATTTAAATTTCTTGTGTGCTTATGTTGCAGAAAACGAGTGGAAGAAAAACCTTCAGTACCAGCAGCAATAGTCAAGCCAAAAAGGGAAGTTGAGATTGATAGTACTGAAAATGTCAATTTGGGAAAAAAACCTAAACTGGAAGATGTTTTATCAGAAGATGTTAAGTAAGTGCTTAGCTTAATGTGTAAGGTAGTCTTAGCAAGCCGCCTTGATTACTTTTGTGCCAGTTGGGGACAATTGACATAAAGGAGTTTTGCAGTGTTTTCCTGTAAAAGTGAATTTACACAAGTTTGATTTTCCATTATCTGTTCAAATGAGAAAGTGTTGCCAGTGCAGCCTCAGCAGTGATGAAAGCTGGGTGTATTTAAAATAATACTGCACACATGCAGGCCTTTGCAGTAGAAAATTTTAATGGATTTGTAGTTACTCATTTGAGTCAGTGACTTGTAGTCAAAGACATTGTGTTGATTTCACACAGAGCAGGAAATGAGATGGAAGCACATGAAAGGAGGCAGGCTTCCTGTGTACCATGACGTTGAAGGAGATAGTTGGCTTGGGATACAGGAAAAATAAATCGGCAGTAAGACAAAAAAGGCTTTTGAGGCATGTAATGTGATAATTACATTATCATTTGGTCTTTCATATAACTTTTGTGAAGTTCAGCGTCATATTTCTGTGAGAAGTTCTTTTGAAGACTTCTCAAAACACTGTAAAGGGTAAGTGCATAGAAACAAAACAGAACCAGAGCCAACGTTCTAACTAATTTTCTGTGTTAGTGGTATCAGTGGAATGTATGCATCAGAAATAAACAGTTTCATGGAATGGGACTCCAGTCCCTTCTTGTGGCCATGAGAGAAAGAACTGATGAAGAAAAGAGGGCTCTTGTCCTCAGGCAGGTGCTTGGGATGCTTCAAGGTGTTCTTACTCTGTGTTGACTAGTAGTAGGAGTACAAGTGTTGAATTGTTTCACTCTGTCTTGAAAAAAGTCCTCATTTAATTGTAAAACTGGATGTGAGTAAATGTGACCCAGGTGCTGTTTTGTGGTGTAATTTTTGATCAATAGCTAAAGTAGATTTATATGGTAGCAAAATTTTAACTTGCTGGTAGTAAACCTCTGCAGTCTGTCCATGCCAAGACTGCACATCCATTTTTTTTAGTGTTGCAGTTAAAGCACAGGTGAAATTCAATATGTTCACTTTTATAAAAACAGGATATTTTCATACTTTTTGGCAATCCTAACTCATATTTTTTTAGTCTGATAGATCTGATGCCTCAAGTAAAGGTGCAGTCTGTGGAAACGGTTGAAGGTTGTACACATGAGGTGAGTGGAGTGAAAAAGCACATGAAACAGTATATAGACTTGTTACACCTAATAGTGTGTCTCATTGCCAGTATAACAGTATTCTTTTTTCTTCTTGCAATTGTTATATCACAGAATCAAAGAATTTTTTAGGTTGGAAAAGGCCTTTGAGATCATTGAGTCAAACCACTAACCCAGTACTGCCAAGTCCTTCCCTAAACCTTGTCCCCAAGTGCCACATTTACACATTTCTTAAGCGGCTTTAGTGATGATAACCATTTTCCTGGACAGCCTGGTCCAATGCTTGACAGCTCTTTTCTAATGTCCAATCTCCCTATTCACAATTTAAGATAATTTCATATTCTCCTTTTGCTTGTTACGTCGGAGAAAAAAACCACCCCCCACCTGGGGATGCCTGCATTGCTGCTTAGAGTTGTTGTGGCCCAGCAGGACACAGGGGCAGGACCTAGTACTTGACCTTGCTGAAGTTCACACCATTGGTCTTTGCCCATGGATCCAGTCTGTCCCGATCCCTCTGCAAAGCTTTCTTGCGCTCGTGCAGATACAGTATTTCATATTGTATTTAGGATTGTGAAGAGTTTGAAGTCTGTATCTGACACTGAGCATGCACAAAATGCACTTGAAAAATTAGTAGGATATCTTATCAGAGGAGTTTCAATCATACTTTCAATAAGATGAATGATTTTGAAAAACTTGATTGTAGTATTGATAGGTTTCTATATTTGTAAGGCACCAAGAACATCTGAGGAGAAAAACCTACTGGTTGGTAAAACAGGTTTCTCTTCTGTCATGGTTTGACACTGGCGCAATGCCAGTGCACCCATGAAAATATATTTTTCTCAAGTGAGTGCAGTAAGATGTGACCAGAAACAGAGCAGAGCAGGCTTGAGCTTTGAAATAAAGAAAAAAACTTCATTAACCTACAACTATAATAAAAGGAACAGACAATTCAGAATGAAAACCCTCCAAAACATTCCTCCGACCTCCACGCAATTTCCAACAAAACACAGTGAGAGAAAATCTTGGATTCCTGATCAAGTTACCACCCCTCAGATAATCAATTCCCAGTCCATCAAGGGAGAGAGGAGTCTCTCTTGCACCATAGATTCCCCCAGGAAACACAGTTGCAACCTCTTGTGTTTTCATGTCACACCTGGCACAGCCCGGAGAAAAGCTGTCATCCTTCCGTGTACAGTGCTCTCACCACCATCCATGGACTTAAACTGCTCATAGGGTTCCTTTAAGGATGCTTTGCCAAGGACCAAAGAACAACAGTTTCTAATTTTGTGACAACAGTTCCCCCCCCATTTTCTCCTCCCCTGGGGCCGAGGTCTCGAGAAAAGAGATCTTCCTCATCCCTGAAGACAGAGGGCACCACCACACCCTCCTCAACTTTTCCCTCTTCACTCCTGTGCATGACACCACTCACTGAAGCTGACCACTCTCCTGGCTCAGGTCATTGCATCTCCCTACAAATGCAGTCTCTGTTGCAGGAGAAATTGGTTCAGTCTATGGCTATACAAGGCAAGTCCAGCCAAAAGCCACTCCTTCATCTCCTCCCACCTAGGATTTCTTCTGACATCTCATGTCCCAGGCTGTCTCTCTTCTCTTTCAGATCAAGGAGGATTAATGTTTCACAAAGCTTTCATTGTCCAATAAGGGGTTAAAAGTCTGGGGCTCCCACATGATATCAAATTTCCAGGTGTTTTAGCACAGGCTCTCTGTCTCTTTCTCCCTCTGGGACCCGGAGGGGAGGGCGGTGGCGGGGTGGGGAATGAAGACATCTCAGTTTTTCTCCACCCTTGCATCCGCAAGGGTGGGATGGGTTCCAGTCCCTTCACACCCTGGGCCTACCTCCTAGGCTGCATGGTTCCTCCCCCCACCCCCAACACCCAAGGTCTGAACTCTTCACTGACCTGAACAAATGGGGGAATTCCCCTGGGGTTCTCGCTTTTAATTCTCAGAGGCGTGCCCAGTGCCTTCAGTGGTTACACCAGGTGTCAATATTCAAATCAGACCGCTGATTGGTTTGACCCCAGCTTCCTGAGAAAACTCACTTCCTTGTCAAGCCAGGACATCTTTGTGGTGTGATCAGTTCATTGAAGTATTCTGCTATTCTGGTTCAAGAATGAAAGGCTTTCTTCTAAAGCTGATTACTGTTGAAAAATGCGTTTTGGTAAAAATGAAAAATGATGGTTTTTTATGTGCAAAGTAATAAAAACTATCCATTTTCAAATTGTGTTGACAGACATAAATACAAATGTGAAAAATGCAAACTATCAATGCTTTCTTAAATTAATGTTTTCTTGAATTATCCTGCATCCATATATGACTATTGGAAAGAGTTTGTGTGAGATTCAAATATGTAAATTTTAACTACCTTTTACTGTTATGGTCTTTTTATCTTCTGTGCTGTTTTCCAGAACTAGTTCAAGGTTATTAAGGTCACATTCAAGGGCTCTGTATCATCAGACTTTGGTAATGAGGGAACTGTATATACAGTTGCTGATCAGTGTTCTAAAGCTCGTCTGTGTACAGTTATTCTGAGATGTCTGTTAAAGGTTTGCCTTTCAGTTACTTAGTAACTGAAGAGTGCTTATGTATTTAAAGGGAATAAATATTAGATATTGGCCAGGAATGAGAATGTTACCATTAGTTAGTATAAATACAGTGTATTTGGAAATAGAACATTATTTATATGAGTTCAGTAATTACTTCAAATGTCCACTGTCCAGAACATATGATTGTGTCTTGGCTGAAAAGCCAGTGTTTCAAGGCAGGTGAAGCAGTAATGTCTCACACAAGACAGTAGGGATATCAGAGAAGTGAGAGAAGCAGCACTGCTTGGGCAAGAGAATATAAAGATTGATTGAAAAGCTCTTGAGAGGAAGGAATGAACCCTTGACACATGAGCTTGTAGAAACAGGATAACAGAATTTCAAATTGGTTTTCATGCACTTCACATTGTCAAAAATATCACTGCCGTGGACACAGAAATCTGCAATTGTTTTTATTTTACATGTCTTTTATAGGTTGCACTTCCCGCAAATGAAGAATTCACAGGTCTGAAGCCAAGAACTGGAAAAGCTGCAAAAGTATGTGGCAGATTCCATTATTTTTGTTTTTACATGCTTTACATAGTAAGTGAGAGTAGAGGGGAAAATTATGTACTTCGTCAATAAGGTTTGTAAAAGATGGTCTGTCATAAATAAAATCGATGGTTTTGTATTTAAAATTTGGTAGAAAAATTATGTGGTTTAATGAGGTGGATAGGCTGTTATGATGTCTATCCTTTATGTAACATCAGGCAGGGCTGGCATTCTAGTTCTCTTCTTAAGCTGGTAAATGAGCAAAAATTCAGTCATCAGGGCAAGATTTTCATTTGCTATGGCAACAAGGCACAGGCAAAAATCTCAGGTATGATATGAGATAAAAATACTTAAATACAAAGTCATTGCATAATAGTGGGTTAAGATCAGCAGAAATTACAAGTCTCTGCAAGATTTAATTTCTGCCTCTAATTTGCATAGTAGGTCAGTCAGAAGAGTGGATAAATGTAAGTCTGTTTTCAATTTCTGTAATGTTTTGGTTTTTTCCTTCTAGGAATATCCATTTATTCTTGATGCCTTCCAGAGGGAAGCTATTCTTTGTGTAGATAATAACCAGTCTGTGTTGGTGTCAGCTCATACATCAGCTGGTAAAACTGTTTGTGCTGAGTAAGTACTTTTCTAACAGGCTCTAATGAAAGAACAGTGTAATGTCCCTTCTGTCACTTTCTTGAACCATCAGTAGCTGTTGCATCCCAATTTCTTGGTAGAACATTCAGTCCATCAGTGTTAGCATTGAATTGGCTGCTCTTGAATATAAAAGTTACATCTTTTTTCATTTAGCAATGAAAAGCTTAATTTGTGTTTAAGCTTAGCTTTTATTTTTAAACTATCAAGGTATTACTGTATAGATTGAAATGGAAGTTACTTCAATACAGATTTCTGTAATTCTTGAAAAAAGACTTTTCTAGCCCCTGGCTAGAAGAAGTAAGGATTTTTTTTCTGTGGCTTTTTGCTTTGTTAGAAGCAGTGGTTTGATATAGTCAGCAACTTCTCTGTCAGGGTTTGGTTCATACCTGAAATAAGTGAAATGTACATGGGGATATATTAGAGCATGGGTTCAAATAAAAATAATTTTGTTGTGACACAGTTACAGTCTTTTAATTAGACTACATGTACTCTTTCTTTTCCATAGAAATCAGTTGACTTGGTGTTTAAAGATTTTTCACTCTGCAGAGATGCATATGTAGTTGCCCTGAACTTAATAATCTGGATAGGAAATGCTAGATGTATTAGAGCATGGATTCAAATGCTGTGTATCAGTCTCTTGGTGTTCTGAATTGCACAGTTTATTTTGTTCTTAAGTGAAGTAATATGCTCTGTCTTCCTGACAGCTGTTAGTATGGATATTGTTTGAATACAGGTATGCAATTGCCCTGGCTTTGAGGGAAAAGCAGCGCGTGATATTTACAAGTCCAATTAAAGCTTTGAGTAATCAGAAGTACCGTGAGATGTATGAAGAATTTCAGGATGTTGGTTTGATGACTGGGGATGTCACCATTAATCCTAGAGCGTCTTGTTTGGTAATGACAACTGAGGTAAGACAGGCATTAATTCTTGATCGGTGTTTTCTTCTACCCTTTTTGATTGGGGAGGTCTAATTTTAAGATACTAAAGTGTCCTAGTTAGGATTGAAAATGTTCTAAAATTCATTATGAATCATGCGAATGTTTTAACTTTTGGTTATTTAAAAAGTTAGGTAAATCTCTATGAATTTATGCTTTTCAACTCTTAAGCCGGGAACTTCAGATTTTAATGTGGAGAAAGTCAGAATTTAATTTCCTGAGTGCTCAAGACACTTGAGTATTCTGTAGATGTGAAATGCTGAAAGTCAGATTTCCTAAATCCTGTGGTAAGTATTTTGTTCTAGAAAGGCAAAATAGGAAGAGTGAAATCATGGAAGGACAGCTGAGTTGTTCACAGTAGGTGCTAGAAAAGTCATACTTGGCTTTTCACTTTTAGTAACTAAGTATTGCTTACAGAGCTTTGTCATATTTCTGTTATAGAAATGCAGCTATGAGTTGAAATTTTGCTCTTTTTGCCTTTACCTCAAAGGAGCAGGCTTAATTTTAGTAGGGAATATTAAAGAGGTGGAATGATTCGATTTCTGACAAAAGATTTCCTCTTAATCACAGAGAAATTATCTATTAGGATGAGGTAAAAAGAGGTCTTGCAGAAGTAGATCTGTAAAGATGTAACAGTTACCTGACAGTGGAAGCTTGGAGAAATGCAGTGTCTCATTCTTTCATGTTCCTTTCAGAGAAACAAGTTTTTCTCAGGTAGTGAGATTGTTAGATTGGAGTGAACTTGGAAAGCATCTCAAAACCTATCTTTAAATGCTTTTTTGCTTTTTGCAAAATATGATTTCATATATTCATGTAAAAGTGAATCCAAAATTCTGTCAGTTTCTTACTGATGTCTGTGTAGTATGAATGTTGTTACTTCATGTGAAGGGATTCAACTTTTATTTCCTTTTCTAGATCTTGAGAAGTATGCTTTACAGAGGTTCTGAGGTTATGCGTGAAGTTGCATGGGTTATTTTTGATGAAATTCACTACATGAGGGATACAGGTATCCTATATATACTGTTCGTCTTTTCAAATCTCTGTATTGTTTCCCCAAGAACAATTTCTTTTTCTTTTGAAGAATGAAGTCTAATTTTATCTTGTAAAATCTGTCATCTTTTTGTACAAATAATTCACAATTTGTTTCCATCTGAATTATTATCTATATAATTATATGTTGCAGTTTAATTATATAATTATATGTTGCAGTTTGTATTTTCTTCACCAAAGCAGAAATGACTTTGATGCATTTGATAAACCCCACTTGTGTAGAGAAAATTTGTTTTATTTTTTGTCTTACTTTGTTTTTAAGCATGCTGTTCTTTGCCTTCAGGAATGATAAAAATACTTTGTTCACATAAATTTCGCGTCTGCTTTTCCATTTTCAGAACGTGGCGTGGTTTGGGAAGAGACTATTATTTTGCTTCCTGATAATGTACATTATGTGTTCCTTTCTGCAACTATTCCAAATGCCCGTCAGTTTGCTGAATGGATCTGCCATCTTCACAAACAGGTAATATTTCCAATATGCTGTACCTCTGTGCTTTTTGTCTTGTGACATAATACTGTCTGTTTGGTTGATAACTGGGCCTCCGAGTATCTTTTTAGTCATTTTATTGCTTATATGTGATAGTATAGGTCACTCCTGGCTTCTCTAGCTGTATTCCTACTTTTGCAGGTATACTGGCTGTTGCTTCTGAATGGCAACATTAGAACTGTTTCTTAATGTTTATTTTCACAATTATTTAGGCACCTGCCTGATTTCAGCAAACATTATGAATTATGAAATACGGTGAACATACAGTGATTTTCTGAGGGCTGATAGACAAGAGTTTATTAGGTGAATTTGGCTGAGGATATCTGTAAAATGCCATGTAGAAATTGAAAGCAAATCTTACATCCATGGGAAATACTATATATGCTTGCAAGCAAGTGAGAGAAGTGTTATTTAAGAAATCTGTCCTGTCCTGTAGCCTTTAGGTTTTAAATTCTATTCTGTTTTTTTCTATAGCAAAGACTTTGTGAATTAGAACTGGGGAATTTATCAACAAGAGATTAGTCCAAGTTTAAAAATATTCTGGAGATTGATTCTTATGTTGTTTGTGATGCAGGGAGTATAATATTAAAAAATGTCTATTTTTAATATAAAATGTCTATTTTTGCCCACAAAACCTTGACTTCGTGTTGCAGACATGTGTTACAGATTGTGGGTTTTTAAAATGTAGATTTATGTAATATTTAATGTTTTAATGGAAGTGGTTGGTTTTTTCCCTAAATAAGCTTTCTTAATGCATCAAAACCTTAAGTGCTCATGAAAGTCTACTGTGAGTCTTTTTTAGGTGTTTCAATAATGCTTCAGGCTTTTTCTACAAAGTACAAATGAACAGGGTTTCCTTTGATTTTTAGAAGATGTTAATATTTCAAGTCTGTCTACTAATGCTGAAAGAAATACTGGCTATCTTTACTTTTTGTGTTTATGAGAAAGAATTTTTGTAGCAAATTTGTGTTCTGAAACATTTGCATTATCTTAAGCAATGTCATTAGCACAAAATTCATAGTCAAGAAAGAAAATTTGTTGTCTTAGTTTCTGAAAGCCTTACTTTCTGGTTTTTAGAAGGTTGTGTTTTAATAGTAATGTATTGGATTTTCCATTATGCAAGTGATACTACAATGCAATTATGAAATATACATGTGAATTCTTTCTTTATAGCCTTGCCATGTGGTTTACACTGACTATCGACCCACTCCACTGCAGCACTATATATTTCCAGCAGGAGGAGATGGACTCCATCTGGTTGTTGATGAAAATGTAAGGAATGCTCAGTTTGCCTGAAAGTTTGTTTTCTTCACATAACAGTCAAAAGCTTGAGCTCTTGCAAAATTTGGATAGGCTGTATAAAGGATGTTTTTGTTAAAATTAAGTACAACTGAGTAATGGTGATCTCTGAATTGCTTTTAGATTTTGGAGTCTTACACAATAAATTGGTTTTATTATCCGATGTCATGCAATGGGCTGAGTAATACTTCCCTGAAATATCTTAAGTGCCCACAGCCTTGTTTGTTTTCTAAAATGCATGCTGCTTTCTGTAAATCTGCAAAGTAGTTGAAGTTTCTTGTACTGTTTCTCGCTCTAAAGAAAACATAGTGGCACATAAATTTGACTTTAGTCAAGGGACAAAATATCTTTGTTTCTTCAGGTGTTTTTGAACTAAAAACTTCATTAACATTAGCTCACTCATTAGTTACTAATGCCATTAACAGTAGTGCTGCACTTGGAAGATATGCCTTCATTGGGCAGTGTGGTTTTGTGTGGACATTCCTAAAAGTCAGTTTTAGTACTGTGTCATTCAGCAGCTGTGGCATGGCAGGTAGAGTGCTGGATAGAAGAATGAGCAGTAACTTCAGAGACACACCAGTGCAGTTTTGAGCTGTGACAATGACCTAGTAAACTCTTTTGATAGTTTATGCATTGTTTTTTACCTGTGTATGTGTATATGTGGGTAATGGTACTGGCTGTGCAAAGCACTAAGTATTTTTAAGTGGGCTATTTTCAAAGTAAGTAACTATTTATAAAGTCTGTCTTTTATATCTAGGGAGATTTCAGAGAAGATAATTTTAATACAGCAATGCAAGTGCTTAGAGATGCTGGAGACTTAGCAAAAGGGAACCAGAAAGGCAGGAAAGGAGGAACAAAAGGTGAGTTTGAACCCATTCTGAGGTAAACTTTGGTATGAATTTTTTTCAAAGTGCAATGGAAGTTGTGCTTGTGTCTCAATTACTCCTTTTTGTTGTAAAATTTAATTTAAATTAATGTAATCTTTCTGCAGGTCCTTCAAATGTTTTTAAGATTGTGAAGATGATCATGGAAAGGAATTTCCAACCGGTGATTATTTTCAGCTTCAGTAAGAAAGACTGTGAAGCTTACGCACTTCAGATGACAAAGTTAGATTTCAATACAGGTAAAGATAAATTAAATTTACAGATTCATTTTCATGTGAAGTACTACTTTTTCTGTTGAACATTTTGTGTAAAACCAAAAGGAAAATAAATACTGCTTTTTAAATGTACTGTGCTGGTACCTCAAGCTGTATTCAGTAGAAAGGTATTGGTGCACAGAGTACTTGGTCATCACAGTGTTGAACTGTTCATTGACTTTAAACTATTTCTTGCTCCAGTGTGCTGTTTATTGTACTAATAACACAAAAATTCCTAGAAAATTCTGTCTATAATAGGAGAAGGCTGATCATAAAAAAGTATTTCACAAAATTTTCATGTTACTTTCATTAGAAAAATAATATACTCACAAGGTCCAAACAACTGTATAACAAACCACTGGACTGGTATTTCTTGACAATACAATCCAGTTTTCTTTATTTCCTTCTTCCCCTTGCTTCTCAAAGTAAAAACCAAAAGCTAAAACAAAGATTTTTTTCATCTTGGCTAAGACCAAGTTTTGCAAATAAATTTAAACACATCTTGGAAATCTGAAGAGCTTTAACAAAAATAAGGAATTTGTTGTAAATCAATGTATTGTTTCATGTTTTTTGAGTTATTCAAGGTTCTTGCCTGCTTATTTGCTCCAGTCTTTGCACATTTTGGTTTGGTGTGGCAGAATAATGCAGGTGTTTCTGTCAGAAAATTTAAAGATATGTGTAAATGCAGAGGTGCATTTTCACATTTTCTTCAGAAGCACACCTTTGAATGTATATTCTTGATATTCGTACTACTTAGTGGTAAGGGTTTAAGAGTTAACAGGAAAGAGCCTCTATAGCCATGCAGACAGGGACTAGTAGGTAGAAGAGGAGCAGGGAAGGTTTAAGAAATAGACAGGGAGCACATAAGACTGATAAATCCCAAGCTTGCAAGTGGCTGATGCTTGGACTGTTCTGAAAAGTTTGTTTTAGTTTTCTTTTCCTTTTTTCTGATCGTCTGCTTCTGGTTACCATCTGGTTCCTCTAGGCTTATTGAATCTTGATTGCCTGACCATGTGTGGGTGGTTTTGTATAGACTTCACAGTATTCCACTCATTTTTTCTTGTACACTTTTGTAAATGTTAGAATGTGGTGCTACTTTATTTACATCTGGTATTAACCTTATTTATTTTGTAATAACTAAAAAATTGCCTTCTTAGATGAAGAAAAAAAAATGGTTGAAGAAGTCTTCAATAATGCAATTGATTGTCTCTCAGATGAAGACAAAAAGCTTCCTCAGGTGAGTGGAGATTGAAAGGGGTTCTTTTGAATAGAGTTGAATTGCTGCTTTCCTGTTTTCTGAAACTTCTGAAGTTGTGGGTGTTTGTAGGGGTACAGAAATTATAAAAGTGGATAATCTCATTCGTCTCCCCAGATTTTAGTATCTCCTGCATTGCTTTTTGTCATTATGAAAGAGGTGATAAGGATTCCTTCCAGTTGCAATACCAGCAGATAATATATATCAGAATTAACAGTGGAGTTCCTACCCCTCATGAGAGTTTATAAAGAGGTAGATCTGGGTTTAAAAAGTCTGGCAATAGTTCAAGTGGGAGTGCAGTATGCACTTACCAGTTATTGATTGCTGAGGCTTTCAAAAAGTTGCATTGCATTCATGCATCTGCAGTCTTAATTTATTGCATAATGCCTAAGCATAGATGTTTTCCCATTTTTACAGTGGAAAAATACAAGCTTCTAAGCAGGATATTATGGGATTGAATGGGTAGTTTTAAATAGGGGAATAGTGAATTACATGAACACTAAAAGCAGTGTTGAGGGTTTCCGTACAACTTTTAGTAACAAATCTTAAAATTTGTTTGCTGGTCTTTTGTATGTTTCTTCCCAGGTTGAACATGTGCTTCCCCTTCTGAAGCGAGGAATTGGTATTCATCATGGTGGTTTGCTTCCTATCTTGAAAGAAACCATAGAAATCCTTTTCTCAGAGGGCCTAATAAAGGTGATTTTCAAGTCCATCTGCAGTTTATTGTGAATATGTGGCTGGTAATCCTGAAAATCCAAGTATGCCTTAGCTCAGGGTGAATGCTAGTATTACAGTGGAGATCTACACTGCAGCTGTAGTTTTAAGTGTTCCAGCTTTTATTTACTTAAAGTATTTGAACTCTCAGTGTCTAATTTAAATATTTTCTTCAACTATTTTATGTTACATCTTTCTCCTGTAAATTACTTTGGACATTTACCAAGCTGATTGTTGGTTGTACTAAGGACAAATACTCAAAAAAAAAAAATGTAAAGGTGAAAGTTGTTGTGGTTTTTTTAGGTAGTTGACTCCTGCTTTCTTCCTGCGAACTTGAATATTGAAAAGAATTACTATTATTGATTAATATAATTTGCACTCCATTATGTTTTCTTTGGAGTTTTTCACATGGACACATCTATTTAGTTTTTTTGCTTTCCAGGAGAAATAAGGAAGGGCAAAAAGATGGTTTTGGTCCAGTTTTTAAGTATTGAATATGCCTGTGTTCCCTTTATTGACTGCACAGGTATAGTAAAATCCAGAGTGATTTTGTCTAGCAATCTCTTGACTATTTTTGTGTTTAATCGAGATCCTCTTTTTTTTTGCTTGCTTAACTTCAGTCTGTTTATTTAGGCCTTATTTGCAACAGAGACGTTTGCTATGGGAATTAATATGCCAGCCAGGACTGTGCTGTTTACAAGTGCCAGTAAATTTGATGGAAAAGATTTCCGATGGGTAAGTGATAGAGAGGTTCTGTAAAATAATTGAATTATTTAAACCTTATTAAATTTATTCTTAATGTGTTCACCTCAGTGTAGTAGAAAGTACTTTTTCTTTCAAAAATATGTGTCTCATCCATTTATAGTTAATACACGGATTTCTGAAGACAAGGTTCTTCAGATTGTCCATGAGATCGTTTAATAGATACATCAAAAGGGAACCAAATACAGGTTAGCAGCAGACATTTGATTAGACTAGGACTTCTGCACAGCTTTTCCAAAATTGATATCCAGATATTTTATTCTGTATCAGAGAACTCTGAAGAATAAATGGATTTCATATCCTCTCATAATGATCACTAATTTTGACAGACCAAAGAAAACAGTTAATTGACCTTGGAAGAGTCTTATTTTCTTACAGCAGGATTTTTTCATAATTTTAAAATTTTAGACACTAAAACTAGGTATGTGGTTTACTTAAAATAAACATGAGGCCTTGCAAGTCATCACAGCAAAACTTTATAAGAGCCAAGGCTCGTCCTTCAAAGGTGGGAAAATTGTTGCGAACAGGACAAGTGACTTGACCTATGCAAATTATGAAGTAAACGTTTTTTCAAACTTAGTTTGAACTGTTCAGTATAACTGTTCATTTTGATTGTGTCTGTAAGATACATATAAGAATGCATTTGCTTTGAGATAGAAGAAATGTGGAACTTCTGAAATTATTTAGCACAGTTTGCTTTAAGTAGTTTTTAAAATCTGACCTAAAGTGAAACTTGGGGAGTTGTCTAGAATGCAGTTCCACAGATGACAAAACCCTTGGTTTATAACTTGCTGAGACATAGATAACCAGTTGTAGCTGCCTCGTGTCCATGTCCCAGTTTTTTGAAAACTCTTCCATTTCACAGTTAGGAAGTATAAAAATACTCCTTTTGCAAGTATTATCAGCATATTAATACTACTCTTGAATAATCTGAATGAAATGATGCATTATTTGAAGATGACTGAGATGCATTATCAGGTATATTGAAGATCTTTTGTATCTTCAGCATGGTCAGCAACCTTCCATTATAAAAGACATTAGTAAAATGGGTTTTGTGCTTATTAAATTGATGCCCCATGATACAGAGCTGTAAGAGCATTAATTAGCTTTTACTGCCAATTTACGTTGTTCATTGCCATGGATTTATATTGTTGTTTCATGGTAAGTATGACTAATAAAGTCAATCTGTGATAACTCTTTGATAACTTTGATAACTCTTCTTTGCTAATTTTTGTACATCATATCACTTACTGTGCAATTGTAATTAGCACAGTATGAGTTCCTACTATTTTCTTGATGTTTGTTAATTTCTTTTTCTCATTTTATTGTAGATATCCTCAGGTGAATACATTCAAATGTCAGGTCGCGCAGGACGCCGAGGTATGGATGATAGAGGAATAGTAATTCTCATGGTGGATGAAAAAATGAGTCCAACAATTGGCAAGCAGCTTTTGAAGGTAGGAGAGACATTATTTTGTTTCATTTCTCCTGGAAGGTTATGTTCACTTGAGTAATGTTATGTGGAAAATTATTCACCTTAGACAAGAAGATCATGCAGGTAGAAGATGATAACTCCTGAAAGTAGCTTTTAGTGAATTCTCATAGGAGTTTCTATTGTGAAACAAAGTCATAAGACTAGTATCACCCTTATTTGTACAAAAATAGTATCATCCTTCTTTGAATAAAAGGGCTATCAGACAGGACAAGTAGAACTCTGTGCTGTTTTTCTAGTGATAGCACTACTACTGTAGTATTCTGTTTCTTGCTGACTGACATCAGTTTAAGCGTTGTGAACTAGGAAGAGGTTTCAGCTTTCACAAGAGTTAGTAAATTATTGCTTCTGTGATTAAATAGAACTTCGTTAATGGACTATCAGTGTGATAGACAAAATGAACAAGGTCATGCAAAAATGAAGTACATAGAATAAGGAGGAGTGAAGTGGCTGTCGGTGTGTGAAAATCAGCTATGGAGAAATTGAGTTCTTGTAGGAAATAGAGAAGTTTGGAAATTAAGAGGTTGAAAAAATGATTCATGGTTGAGATGGGCATTAAATTACAGGACTTATCCTAACTGTAATGGGAGTTGTTACAGATTATTACACTAATACCCTCTTTCTTTATAATCTTAATATGAAATACTGTACTCATTACACTTCTATTTAAATTCCACAAAGAAGTATCTGTCATGTGAGTTGCCTGTCTTAGGCTGCTTACATTAATTGCGCAGACACGCTAAAATTGAAAACTTGGGCAGTTGCACTGCACTCCATTTAGGAGCTTGTAGCTTTGGTGCAAGTAGCAGGTCATTTGTGTTAAAACAGCATTTACAGTTTTACTAGACTTAGTATAAATTGTGGGAATCATCTCAAGTCAGCATCAAGTTATGGTAACAAAAGGCATGTAGTTGTTGCAAAAAAAAAAAGAGATGCCAGTTTGTTTTTTTTCAGGCAAATTAAGAACAAGGGGAAAAGTACCTATGTGGCTGCTGTTAATTATGTAAATGAGGATTCTTTGTTGTGTGTCTTGATCTGTCAGTGCTACCTGTTAATCCATATTATAGTATATCTGAAAATATGTACATTACATGTACCTTTTATACATCAAGAAGGTAGTATTTAAGTCCTTTAAGTCAGAATTTTCATGAATGCTGCATATTATGGCTAACTACCCAGAAATCAGTAAAATGTATTTCAGAAATATTCACGGCATGGTAGCATTAGGTTTTGTGCTAATTACTTAGTCTTGATTTGATTTGTGTTTTGTCATTGGAATGTACATATATTTATTTCTCCACATGCACATTTATTTAATTCATTTTTGACACTATTTCACCTATGAGCAAAGATTGACTTTCAGAATTTTCTAATAAAGATCTGAAGTGTCTAAAATGAAGATACTGATGTTTCTGTAGCTTCTGTAACTATTTAGCCAATTGCTATAAAGGCAATTCATCTTTTTATTAAAGGATCAGCACAGCACAAAAAAAAAAAACCCTTCTTATTTTCATTCTTAAATACAAAGCATCTAGATGAAATTCCATGTCAAACAGGCCAACAAAATCAATGCAGACTAAAAATGACATAATATTTATAGAATATACGTAATATTTATAGAATATACAGAATATTTACAATTCATAGTCATCATTAAGTATGTCCCAGAGTTTCCTTTTACTGTTGGTATTTGTTTGTGGTAAGATGGTGGTCATGCCTAGTGGTACTATTCTGCTTTCAGGACAAGCTAGATTTATAGGAAAAACTCCAGAAGAAATAAATTAGCCTTCTTGAGAATGACAGAACATTTACATAGAACATTTTTGTCATAGCTCTTCAACCCTAATGGTGGGGTGTCTGATCCAAGCCATTTCCTGAGCACTAGAGCAAAATATCTAGGAATGCTGTTGTCAGCTGCCTCCTGCAGAGGTCGGTGAAGTGAGAGCTTTGCGCAGATTGGTGCCAGCAGCATTGCTGCAGCTGTGCTGATTGGCTGTGCAACATTGTGTACAGTACTCCAGACTAACATTCAGCATTTCCTTCTGAGATGGAGTTCCTACAAGGGACCTTTGTAAATATTTCTTAAACTCGGTAATGTGCATTTGTCTTCTGCAGTGTAACTAGGTTTCTTTGTTTATCGTTAGCATATACTTGACCACTGAATAGTTAGTAAACTGGTGACTTGCATGAATCTGTAAACTCAAATGCTTACAAGACTATTGGGGCAGCTTTCTGAAGATGGTAAATTGTAATTGTGCATCTGTGTGATACTAAGAAGTATTTGATTGGAGTTTTTTTTGTTTCCTTTCTTAAAATCTATTTGTCCTTGCTTAAAAGCTGTTTAGGTAGGAAGTTACTATGTTGCTTTAGGTAGGAAGTGTAGAGCTTTTTCTTGATGCTAGATAGCCTTTGAAACAAGTGTAGCATCTCTCCAGCTGGAACTTGGACATGCTACAAGGATGCATTCCTACAGAGAGAGTTCAGTTACTCAACAGTGGTAGTTTGTTGTGTCTCTAAAAGACAAAAATCTTGAACGTAAGATCTAACATAACCTCTAATTATGTTACTGGAATGGATGATTGTACTCTGAAAATGTGGTATGTAAGTAGGTTTTTGAACTTTGAATTTGAGCCTATCAGTGCATTGCATCTACTTACTCTATCACAGGAGGAGACGGACTGAAAAATTCAAAGAAAACTTAGAATCATCAAGGTTGCAAGAGACCTTTAAGATCACCAAGTCCAACTGTTAAGCCAGCATTTACCAGTGCAAGCCCTGAACCATATTACCCTGTGCCAGATCCAGATACCTCTAAAACACCTCCATCTCCCTGGGCAACTTGTTCCAGTGCCTGACCACCCTAACAGTGAAAAAATTGTTTCTAATATCTAATCTGAAAGTCCCCTGTCTCAGTTTAAGGCCATTTCCTCTTGTCCTCTCACTGCAGGGATATTGAGGATACTGGACCCCACCTTACTAACAGCCTTGTTTCAGGCAGTTGTAGAGGGCAGTGAGGATTGCCATGATCCTCCACTTCCCAAGGATAAACACCTTCAACTCCCTCAGGTGTTTCTCGTAAGACATGATCTCTAGGTGCTGCATTGAGAGCCTTGTTGTCCCTCTCTGGACATGGTCCAGCCCTTCAAAGTCCTTTTTTGAGGTGAGGGGTCCAGAACTGAACACAGGACTCTGACATGTGACCTCATCAATGCCAATCCTTTCCCCAGCCCTGCTGTACACTATTTTGGATACAGGAATGCATTTGTCTGCCAAGGAAAAAAAAATACTTTAATTTGCTTTCTTGCCTTTTTTCTATGGAACATAAAGTGCCCCAATGCCAAGCTGTAGGAGATACTCCACTAGCTACATCTAGTTCCTTGGCAGGGCCTTCATTTTATAGAGCTGGCTGTACTGGCCTTATTTGGCCTGTATGTTGCTGTATTAGAAGTCTCGTTGCATTTTATTTTAATTCTTAAATTGTTTTATTGTACCAGGCAAGTGAGCTCAACAGCAATTCAGACAGTTCAATAGTTTTCTCTACAAACATCAGCTTAGCATGCCATATGAATCATGCTATGGTACTTTGGTTTGACTCAGAAGTTACTTCTAGGGAGGAAAAAATGCCTCAGGGGTTGAGGAATATACCAAACCTTACATCAGGAGAGAAATACTTCACCTGGAGGTAGGCACAAATACTTGTTGGAAAAGACATTGAAAAATCTAAAGTAATAGATTGTCACTATAGATAGTGGCTTGAGGACAGTAAATATTCTTCTAAAGTTGTGACATAGATGAGAATCACAATGAAACATGTATTTTGGATACTTTTAAAAATATATTTAGATAAAAATAATTTTAATGTGAAGTAATTGTTTTTACTGTAAACTGCCAGCCTTTTTTTATCCGTATGAAGCATTCATTGCAGGAATTTTCCAGGCTTTGATACAGAAAGGTGCTTAACTTCTAACCTTAATTTAAAATCAGGTTGAAGTCAACAAGACTCTAGCATGAAATCACAGAGATCAGGGAAATGGATAATCAAATACCTTTGTAAAGAGGATCACAGTTTTGCATAATTATGCAAGCCAGCAGATGGAAGAGAACAGCAAATATCTGTTCTTTCTGATGTTTGCAACCAAAATGTATGAAAATGGGGTGCACCAAATGGTGTGTAAAATGGTTTGCCATTCTTGAACTTCACCTCAAGATTTTCAAGAGTCTGTAGCATTAAACTAATAGGTTTTATTGATTAATTGTGGTTGCTGCTTTAATACCACAAAATACTTCAAGTTTTATTAGTTCAGTTTGTGGAAAGCAGTTTTCCTTCAGATTTTTGGAAAATTTACTTTGGTAAACTCATCACTACGAATGTGAATGTATGTTGGCTAAGCTAGATTTTTTTTCTTTGCCTTTGTATTCTTAAAACAAAAAGGAGATGAACAGATCGCAAGGTACTTTTTAAAATTTAATTTGATATTAACATTTTATAGAAGTAGGTAGTCTTTTCTACGGTACGCTTTTCCGTTATGACATGCTGCACATTTACTGAAATTGTAAAATGTCGTAAAATAAATACGTCACTATCCTGATACCTATAGTGCCAATTCCGTTGAGGATGGCAGCTAGTTTCTTCTTGAAGGCAGATACCATTTTTCCAAGAATAGGGAGAAGACGAGAGCTTGGGAGTTACTATCCTGAAGTGAAACTAATGATGGCTACAACAGTAGCCTACTGTGTTAGACAGGGTAAAGGGCTGAAAATTTCCATCATTTAAAACTAGCTTGAGAAGGTAGTATTTGGAAGCAAGAGAAACAGTTACATTGTTTTCCTTTTAAGTCTCTTGTTGCAACTGGAGCATTTGTTGAATCCCAGCCTGAGGTATTTTCACCAGCAAAGCCTGCTGGAGTATTTTGCCACTCACAGTGGCTTCTGTTCGTCCTGGTGTAACTGGTTTTGGGGCAAAGC